CGGATGGTCCGACTCACCACCGCCTTGGCCTGCGAATTACTGTTTGACACGTTAAAATTCGGTGTTGCTCTGTAGCTCAACAAAAAGGCCTCAATAGGTAGTGTAGTTCTGAGATTCTGCAGTGATCTCTTGAAGATGTTCACAAATTGTTCCATCTGGCCGCCGGACTTTGAACAGAATGCCATGTACCGTTCCGCTAACAGAAAGCGGAAAATTCTGTCGATCTAAGTGCACTGGGGATGTTAGAGACTGAAACTCCGGAACCCAAAAACGATTGAACAGATTTTGTAGTTTAAAGTGGTAGTCCTCGAAGCTATGCCTTTCATGGGAAGTACTTCCGACCGTTCGCTCTAGGCGTCTACCAGAAGTAGAGGGTGTTGTCCATTGATCAGACCCGCGAAGTTAACATGAAGTCGTGGCCACGGGGTTTTGAGCACAGACCATGAACACAATTCTGTCTGTCGCCGGTACTTTGACAAAATTTGGCATTTGGAACATGTGTGCACGAACTTCTCCAACGCGATGTCCATATTCAGTTAGTAAATATAGCTGCTGGCCAAGACCTTCCGCTATGCCCGAAATGAAATAATTTAACGACTGAACGCTGTAGCTCAACAACAACACAACGTTTGGCGAAAAGTGGATCGAAGTCGAAAGAACGGCAGCAGTTGATTGTCGCGGCATGTCCGGTAGAAATGGATCGCCCAATGAAACAAGGATAACGCACCGTAGTGTCACGGACCACAGCAGAAAATGACCGGAAAGGCTCGCATTGTTGCGGTTAGCACAACGTGAACTTCCGGCTCTACCGTCACCGAGGTGACGATCGTGTCTTTGGGTTGTCTATGCGGAGAGCATATTAGTCTTGATAGTGCATCTGTCTAACCTATAGCACTGATTTGTTGATATTTGCTAGTGAAATCGTAGCCCAAATACATGGTTACCGATCGTCACAAATGATTGACTGAATAGACTGGGATATCCTTCTTTGGTCCGAAAGCACTGGTGAGAGTCTTGCGGCCGACGAGAGTGAAGCGACGTACATACAATATTTTGTGAAACGTTTTAATAGCAGAACTAATTGCCAAGGCTTTCCTGATTTGATGACAGTTGTGCCCAGTGTTTGAAAAGGCTCTGGCGGCGTGAGCTGTGGATCTTTCAGTTCCATGGGTGAAAATGGGGAAAATGACTGTTCTGATGCCGCAGTTGTATGAGTCTGTCACAACAATGCCACTCGTAAGTGGTCTAAAATGAGTGAGGAGTAGGTCAGAATTGAGTCTTTCTCATATATTCAAATGCAAGTTATTTTTAAAAGATGGTTCAGTGGATGACGGAATAGATGTTTCTGGCAAAAGTACACAGTGATGGTTTACAACACGGAGGAAGGATAGCAGATTATTTAGATGTTTCGGGGCTGAAATCCGTTTTATGGCAAGGCTAATTTCTGGGTCAGGACGAGGACCAATTGATGAAAAATTGCTCCAAGCTATGTTATGGAGGTGAGAAAAAATAAATCGGAATCACAATTTCATCCTGAGTAGAACCGGTAGCAGCCATACCATCCAAGTAAGCGGCAACTCCATGTAAGCCGGTCAACATTGCCTTCAGAATCCGCTGAACTGTGGCGGTTAAATTGGAATAAACCGCGGTGTGTATTGATTATCAGCAAATTTTTTGGAATCAGCATCAGGAAGATCAGCCTTCGCAAAGCATATTCCACCGCTTGGTTTCAGAAATGAATCTTCCGGCGCCGGTATTGCATGCTGGTGTGAGTTTGGCACAGCACTGGGTCAGGTGGAATAGTCAGCACATGCACGAATTCTGTCAATGCCTTTTTTGAAGACAGCAATAGGAGTTACTTGTGTTGCGTAGCTGATACGCCGACTAACTCCAGATTTTTGAAGGCGTTGAGGAGGCAGCATACGGTAGAGGTCACCTTGGTCTGTAAACCAGTCGAGCATCCGAATGCAACTTGAGAATGACTGGCCTCGAGCTTAGTTTAACACTGAAGGTCATCCTGAAAAAAAAATTCTAAACTTTGCCATAAGATTGTCTATGGACTGTTTTAAAGTGCCTGTAAGAGAATCCGAATCTCATGTGCTTCATTTAAATGAACATTCAAAACTTCGAGTTTCTGTGATTAGTCAAGTCCGAATAAGTTCAAACTAAGCAACCACTGAGTCGGCGTTATCTGAAGATTGCATGGCGATTCTACGGTTAGTTGTAAGATGCTACCTGGTGGAGTTTGTGCTCGGCGATCGGTTGTAAACACAAAAGGTTTCCAGTTAATTCCTACGTGGAAAGCGTGTTCAACGTTATATCCGAACTAGGAAACGGGCTGGGATATAATTAGTGGAGACGGGTAGGCAGTTCCCAGAGCATGCAAAATCAGCCTTCAGTGTAGCGGGCACAGACAAATATGTTTCTGGAAGGGGTAAAAACGATAATACTATTACTCCCACCTAACTAAAAGGCTATGGAAGGCTTTTTGGAAGAATCGAAGGTACGTTCTAGTGCACTCGTGAACTCAGATGATCCTGATGGCTGTTGTACGATTGTAGTATCGAGTTTAAGGTTGGTCAAACGCTGGCCCTTAGTGCTGCGTTCCTCTGCACTGCTTTCCTTCTACCACTCAGCTTTGCATAGCAGCTGGGTGCGAAGATTTACGCCATTAGAGGTTGAGGGCCAGCAACAGACGTTATCAGACAATTGAGCCGATTCTGCGTTGGCGCACTCACGATTCCAACACCCGAGAAAGTGACTTAGCCATCAGAATCCTGCTTGATTAACTTGAGATAGTTTTACCAAACAATGGACACCGAAAGTTGTTCACAGAACATATCACCAAAAGTTGGTCAAATGCGTGTTTAAAGTCTAAATCTTTGGACGCTGTGTGGGGACGAAGTTCAGAAAAAGGTCGTGTCTAATAGTAACAAGTTCTCGGAGCAGGAAATGGGTTCTTCCATGCAGCGTATTGGCTTTTTAACCTGTTTTAAAAAGCACATCACGTCGTTTCTACCATGCACTGATTATGTTGCCGGACGCTGAACCGTATGTGAATTTCGATGTGGTTACGGCCATCGTTTCGACACAGGATGCTGACTTGCCCCTAGGCAAGTCTAAGGGTTGAGGTGGAACTTGGATAAGCTGCACTTGCTACTACTCATATTACGCTTGTTGTTGATGCAGAATTGCTTTTAACTTGTTTTATGAAATCATCTTTGGGTTCACCACCATCGTTTCAGTTCCTTGTTAAAATTGTTTATCTATGGTCAACTGGAGTATGGATTTCGAATACAGGACCGCCGGAAATCCCGTTACTAGAGTAACGGGCAAGTAATTTTGAAAAACTAGCTTCTACTTTGGATCGTGGAAAGACCTGGTACTCCACAAATTGTCCTGGCGAACAGCTATCTCTGCGACTACGGTGAGGTAAACTATGCTACTGAACTGATGCGCCGCCCAAAAGGCACTTAACCTCCTACCCCGCTGCAACCGCCGCCATTTGGACTGCGCACGCATGTCTTAGTAGGACCGGCCAGAAAACCTACACCGGCCTACTTGCCAAAAGTTAACAACTGGAACTGAAGGAGGTTTGTTTATAGCATAAACGAGAGATTTAGCTGGGATTCAGGTGCTTTTTGGTGAGCATTGCTGAAGGATAAGTTTAGACGGGTAGGCAGTTCCCAGAGCATGCAAAATCAGCCTTCAGTGTAGCGGGCACAGACAAATATGTTTCTGGAAGGGGTAAAAACGATAATACTATTACTCCCACCTAACTAAAAGGCTATGGAAGGCTTTTTGGAAGAATCGAAGGTACGTTCTAGTGCACTCGTGAACTCAGATGATCCTGATGGCTGTTGTACGATTGTAGTATCGAGTTTAAGGTTGGTCAAACGCTGGCCCTTAGTGCTGCGTTCCTCTGCACTGCTTTCCTTCTACCACTCAGCTTTGCATAGCAGCTGGGTGCGAAGATTTACGCCATTAGAGGTTGAGGGCCAGCAACAGACGTTATCAGACAATTGAGCCGATTCTGCGTTGGCGCACTCACGATTCCAACACCCGAGAAAGTGACTTAGCCATCAGAATCCTGCTTGATTAACTTGAGATAGTTTTACCAAACAATGGACACCGAAAGTTGTTCACAGAACATATCACCAAAAGTTGGTCAAATGCGTGTTTAAAGTCTAAATCTTTGGACGCTGTGTGGGGACGAAGTTCAGAAAAAGGTCGTGTCTAATAGTAACAAGTTCTCGGAGCAGGAAATGGGTTCTTCCATGCAGCGTATTGGCTTTTTAACCTGTTTTAAAAAGCACATCACGTCGTTTCTACCATGCACTGATTATGTTGCCGGACGCTGAACCGTATGTGAATTTCGATGTGGTTACGGCCATCGTTTCGACACAGGATGCTGACTTGCCCCTAGGCAAGTCTAAGGGTTGAGGTGGAACTTGGATAAGCTGCACTTGCTACTACTCATATTACGCTTGTTGTTGATGCAGAATTGCTTTTAACTTGTTTTATGAAATCATCTTTGGGTTCACCACCATCGTTTCAGTTCCTTGTTAAAATTGTTTATCTATGGTCAACTGGAGTATGGATTTCGAATACAGGACCGCCGGAAATCCCGTTACTAGAGTAACGGGCAAGTAATTTTGAAAAACTAGCTTCTACTTTGGATCGTGGAAAGACCTGGTACTCCACAAATTGTCCTGGCGAACAGCTATCTCTGCGACTACGGTGAGGTAAACTATGCTACTGAACTGATGCGCCGCCCAAAAGGCACTTAACCTCCTACCCCGCTGCAACCGCCGCCATTTGGACTGCGCACGCATGTCTTAGTAGGACCGGCCAGAAAACCTACACCGGCCTACTTGCCAAAAGTTAACAACTGGAACTGAAGGAGGTTTGTTTATAGCATAAACGAGAGATTTAGCTGGGATTCAGGTGCTTTTTGGTGAGCATTGCTGAAGGATAAGTTTAGTTTTCATAAAGGAAACTACTTGCAAGGTTGCTGAGAACTCTCCGAGTAGAACATTAGGTTGACGGAAACTCGGGGACTGTGCCAACCTGATGAGCCCCAAGAAGGACGAAACCGGTCGTGGGCTGTCGAAGTGTTTTCAGCAACCTCGTGAGTAGTTTTCTTTATGAAAATATACTGCGATATCTCGATGATCGTGCCAAATCATGAATGAGGCGGCCTAAGTGCAGCACATTCAGTTACAGAATATCATAAACAACGAGAGGTTCAGTTGAGCTTCTCGTGGAAACCAAACTAATTTGTAAGTGAGTGTATTTATGGATAAATCTAGTTGTTTGTGTTACGTGACAAGGTTTTTGTTTAGTTTTCCGGTCATGCAAAATATATCCACTCTTCACTAAGAGACTTCGACAGAGGTTGGAATAGCTATAACAAGTCTCTCACATACGGCCACATTTTTTCCGAAAAACTTAGGGCTTTATCACAACGGACATAAGTTGCATCTTGTTCGAAAGCATGCATATCATGACTGATTAAAACATACTTTTTGGTTACTTCAGTTTATTTGAAACGCGACTGTGTAAACCATGTCTTTGTCAAGCGATATGTTTTTTTCTGCTGCCACTTGAACGCTCACGTGACCCGTGTGCCGATTAGCCGGCTTTCAATACAGACGGTCTTCAAGGCCAAGTCATAAAAAACGAAGCAGTTGAGTGACCTCTGTCTTCGTGTGATTTTTGAAACTACAGTCAATGATTTTCTCTAATTAACTGAAGATTAGCTGGAGAGAAGAATTTAACACTATTTTGTCAACTTGTTTTTGAGAAGCTGGCCTGATGAAGTTACCAGATGATCTTAATCTGAGCTCATCCGTTTGTGTGTGTGTGTGTGTGTGTGTGAAGGTTACCGAAAAACACTCACTGGAGCTTTTTAGCTCAAAAGTTGCATAAGGAGGCTCACAAGTAAGCTGATTGGATGGGCAATTAAGAAGACAATATTTTTGTATAATTCTTCAACGATTGCCCAACCAATGAGAAGCGAACACAGTGATCATTCATGATATCTGATTAAAGTGACCTGTTCGGCGCAGTGTCACTGTTCTGAGGATTCGACTTAGCGGCCTATTTTATACACGATCCCGTTGACTCTAAAGTCAGATGTTTAATTTAGAATGAGTCTGTGAAATCTTATGAAATCTTATGCACTCAAACAGATACTGTACGACTCCTCCCGTTATCCTAATATTTGTCGATTGTTACTTGTCTATCATTCGTTCACCTTCCCACGGCTCATCTGACTGGCCATCCTTGGACCCATCGTTACGTAAGGAACATTATCTGCGAGAAATAAACAAACCTGAATCCCCCGATCTGCCAATGTTGGTGAACTAGTCATTTGCAACTTATCCTGCGTAACTTCGTGTACACCAGCAGCAGAAAGGTGTGCACAGTCCCGGTTTGGAACTGGATTGGAAGGCTAGTCTGGAAGCTAGCCTGAATCGTCGGCGTTTTGACATTCGTCCTCGCTCATATTATCGGTCTTATCGGTTGATTTGTAATTAACTTATTCGGTCTGGAAGTTGGGTGATTAGTTAAGGCCGAAGCATGGTCTGGCCTGATTTGCTTAAACCAGATTTTTATGGAACAGACTAAACTTGCATAACACCCTGAGGCTTGGATGGGCGCTCTGGGACAGAATGATAATCTATTCAGTGTTTGTTACTGAATGAAATTTGCGCGAACCGAGGCATCCTTGACCAGCAATTACACTATCCGGAAATAATTTGCGAAAAGTCCTACATGACTTGATTATTTTTTGAAAAACCACCCCTCATGTCGATAAATATTGACAGGTTTGGGCCGTTTGAGCTAGACGGCTTTCATTCCATATCTGAGGGAGTTTGGCGACTCAGCTAGAAAACCAGCTGCACAAGTGAGCCCTCACGGTGGTTTAAGTGTTGAGTTTATGAAAAACGCCAAAACAATCATGGCTCCATGCTACATTGCCTTGCACCCCAGCCATATGAGTAGACCCTTGCGCGGAAGGTTCAGCTGTTAACCTAGCTTGGCATCGTCAGGGATAGGTACAGTTGGAGCTACACCCGGCTTTCGAACACCCCGGATCACCATAGCTGAACAAAAATCCATTTTCATTCTAAACGATGTTTGCATCCACCAATTTCCGAAAAAATCTATCCACACTAGGGAGTAAGAGAGTCGAGGATGCAAACGACTGCCTATTCAACCTTGGGTTTGGCATTTTATTGATAAACTCAACGGTAACGTCCATGGGACTGAGATACTGTAGTCCTTTTAAGGTTTTGTTTTCAAGCTAAATAAATGGGGGAGTATTCTTTAAGATTTCAACTCGCTTTAATTTACCAAAGCTCAGTTATATCCGCCACTGTATTCATTAAGGGAAAGACAGAAACGCCTTTATAATCGCTACTAATTTTCACCAACGTTGCTTTTGAAGTGCGAATCAAAAACCTTCAAATTAGATGTCTGTGTGTCGATCTAACGAACTTCGACACACCGTTTTACCCAACCGATTCTTTCGACCCTTTAGATGCGTTTGGGTTCAAGCTTTACAGCCTTGGTCGTTCCGATCAGAATACTATCAGTAGGTGCTCTAACTGGTTCGCATTTCCTATTGAGTTTTTTTCGCTTCTCAGTTGCTCAAGGTCATCTTGAGAACATCTCTGGGTGCCCAGTCTTGATAGAATTTCGGAAGATGCACGGCAAGTATATAGAAGGGTTTTGGGTGGCACTGTAAATTCCGCGATTCTCCTCTCTAAAGATATACCATGGGGTGCTTTCAATCTACTTTATTTAGTGTTGCAACCAAACTTTAGGTGAGTTCGGACTTGACTTGTCCGTTCCTAAGGTACCTGCCAATAAGCTTTCATGGATACTTCCGTCAATTGTTTGAAATTTCTCATCCTTGGGATTTTTAGTGGCTTATTTGTACTTTCACTTGCAATTCAACCCTCAGGGTGGAATTTTTAGCTAGTCTCCGCGAGCCTCCATCGGTTCTTGATGCACTTAATATATATTTTTTAGGATCCGTGTATACTTTTTCTGGAGTTTGGGTAGGTAGAACGGGAAACCGGTGTGCTAGCATGAGATATATCTGAACCCTGTTGGCGCGAATCGCAGATGTTTTGGAGTGAGCCTCCCAAAAGAGACAACAGTGTATGATTGCACGTGTTGTCTATTTAATGGTGGAACGCTTTGCGTAGCTTGATAAATCCGCACAAACATATGACTTCGAAATGTGTTTAGTAAGTTTTTTCATCGGTCTGTACTCCCTTATAGTCATCCTATGGCATTTTAAACGAAAGATTGGTAGGCCCACCCACGGGTTTCGATGGTGTGAAGCTCCCGCCGCTGTGTTGAGGTTGGCAGTAGGACGGGAAAAACGAATGTTTGATATTCTTAGTCACTTGGAAGTGACTGAGTCGCGGAAAGCAGTCAAGTCTTATGCACAACGTCAGAATACGAAGCAAGTAAGTTAAAGTAAGTGCCAATACTGCTTTTCAACGGTCTCAACGTTTTGGTCTTTAATACACCCGTCGTAATGCAGGTTGAAGCAAGTACAGGGGAACGGATAATAGGGAAGCTGAACAGAGTGGAGTGGGGAGAATGACTTAGTGTAGGGTGGAGAGGGCCTGAATAACACAAAACGGAATAGTGGGCTCAGCCCTGGTGACACCTGAAGTCTATGTTGTCTGGGCTTCCCAGTGGAGATAAAGCATTGGTAGCTGGCTAAAAGGAGCTAGGTGGTAGTATGAGGAGAACTGGTGATTTTCGATCGATATATTGTCCTGTACGTGAAACCACCCTATGTTGAAAAGCCGACAGGCACTATACAAATGTTTTGTTCTCACTGGGAATCACCACAGTACGCATCTTACGAAACTCCAGTAGGAAGTCTCGAGCCCGCAATCTGTTTGGTCAGTAGTTTGTACACTTAACCTTTCGTCCACGAAGCGTTATTCGACAGCGTGACAATCTATAAGTAACCAAGAGGAAGAATAAGTTCACAAGATGAATGAAACTTTAATCTGAGAAGTCCTCACTCGAGCAGCTCATCGAAACACGTAACCATCTTATGTGGTTTCCATTAGTGAAGGATGAGTGACGCTATATCTAGTCTAAGTGCTTGTTAGCCACACTGCTGATCAGGCCGTCGTGGCCAAACTGTTTGGTAAGCAACTACTAGCCAGGGTGTTGAGGGTTCAGAACTCCTTTGATCTTCATGAATTGCGCACTGCTGATGATTCCTAATAAGGATGAATCAACTGTACAGTGTTTCTCGCCCCTTCACTTACAGGGCAGAATCTCAGTTAAAAAGAATTTTGACTACCCTGGTCGATTCAGACCGGTTGGAAGCTTCTTTTCCGACATTCTCAACACATTTGACTTCTAGAACGAAATGCAACGGATTGTATACCGATAAACACAACCCTCAAAATGGAACACTCCTTAGGACGGCACATGATCATTATACGATGTCTCGTCTTCTAAACCCTATAACTCGTTTGCTGTGCAAAATATGGGCAGCAGCAATGCCTTCCAGAATTCGAGCACCCTGTACGCCAATCCTAATGTGATTGGTGAGCTGGAACCGGGTTTGGAAACAGTGTTCAAACCATCCCTGATGTTTCCCAGAGGGTTCTAACAGTACTGAAAACGTGAAACTTGCAGAAATATTCCTTTAACTTTCAGTCAGTACTGAGTTTGCAACGAGACAAAAAATCGTCGCGGGTTTTCCGTGATGGAAGATACATCTGCCTTTCAAAAAATTTCTATAAGACCGTCGCTTAGCTAACCCAATCAGTCGTTGAACGTGATTGTCACACCGCATCAAATTGGTGGCTTTAATAAGGCAAACTGATTTCTCTGAGTTAAGCACAACATCACTGTAAACTTCCCTGCAGCCTCCACGTAGATTGTGGGCGAACCAATCACTCACAGCTTCAAACAGATAATCGCTGGAAGCAACCTTTGATCGGGCCTGGTTGAACAGAAGCACTTATAGGGTAATCCCTGTCTATGGTGGAGATTTTTAGGCGAATAGCCCTGATGCTTTTTGGAACGACGACTCTTGATTTTATCCGCATCTTGACAAGTAATCCTAACCTAGGATCTAAATCGGTCTTCAGTTTGAAATGCGACATCCATATTTTCCAGAATAATATTTCGTAATGACGCCAAAGTAACAGAATCTCGTCTGACCTGTTGAGCATTTCTAACTGGCAACATCTCTACTATACCTTCCATTTTCAGTGTGACCATCTTTCAAGATCATCTTGCCGCACACGGACTGTCACTGTCACCCTCACAAAATCTACCTGCTTCACATGTTCGACGTCTTCGTCACATTTTTTCGCTCTGTAAACGTTTGGATGATATTCGGGGCAGTGTAGTCTTGTGTGCGCCTAAGCAGAATAATGTGTGTGCATGTATCCACGTACACGAAACTGGTCGTACGTCCAGTTGTACACCTGTATGCCCAGTCACATCTATCCTTTGTGTGGCGTGTGCAACGTGCGTTCTCATTTGCCGCTGTCATGGTAGCCTATCGATTCCGATGCGGTTGCTATAAGATGTCACTGTGAGAGTGTGTCAACCACCTGATAACATTCCTCACTTGCTCAGTCGTTATTATTGAGGATGAAATTGAAGTAGTGGGTGCTTGCCAATCTGTGAAAAGGTGAAAATTTCGTTTCAAAAACACTGACTGTAAAACGTCATTAAGCTACTGGTCTGATCTCGCTGACTCACATATCCCTGTCTCGATTTCAGAGAATCTCACTAGTTTGCCATGGGAAAACGATAATTTTAAGTGAATTTGAGTTCATCCTGCTTCCGACTTTTGTGTGGACCCACCAGATTATTTGCGCCGGGACAGGAGGAGGACAGTGGTGCGGATACAGATTAGGAATTCCGCAAACATCTGCCCAGATTTATCGATTTATTGGCGCGCCTTGGCAGCGACATGTTTGCCTTGATGTTTGCTTCGGCCCGGTCTGCCTAAACGAATATATTACCAGTGTGCACAGTGCATTCGAGCGATACTAGCCGATTTGGCGGTAGTGTTTTTAACAAACACGCTGCCAGGTCCCGTGGCAGGTCCACAGCTGAAAAAAGCACATATGGTTTCGTATTGTTGAAATGACGCAAGTCTGAAGGTTACACCTACGTAAATGTTGGGCCGGTCCATCCACAAGAACTTTGTGCGGCTAGACCCATAGCAGTGGCAGATTGCAGTCTTTTGGCGAATTGTCCACACCAGAAACAACCAATTCTGTTCAGTAAACAAGGTAGTTATAATTCAGGATAAATTGTAAAAGTTGAGAGGTTTTGTTACATAGCAATCCAACTGCCAAACTTGGCGAACAGACCAACAAACATAACAATAGAGGGTTAGCCAACCCATCTTGGACTACTACAGCTGAGGAATAACGGAAATGAAAACTGAATTTTATGGAAGCCTTTTTGGACCTTAAAATTGCCCGGTAAAACTCCGAAGGTCTCCTCATGATAAATGTTCATCGACAAAAGTCTGTACATTAAAGCATGTTTTGATCATTCTTTCTTAAAAGGCACAGGGAAATAGGCAAAACCGTGTTGTTTAAAACGGTTTCGGTTCAGTCGCTCTAGCTTGAACAACTCTCCATCTGTCCACATTAAAGTTGAAGCATTGAACCAACCGTACACAAGCACAGTCAATTCTCGAATTCTTATCACAGCTTGCTCACACATCAAGTCAGTATTCGTTGACACCGGTCATAGATTTGACACACAAATTACACCCCGTTTCGAAAGTTAATCACCCCACGCCTGTCAGAAGGGCAAAGGTCACCTTCGCCAGACGTGGAAGTCGATGGTTCCATGGTCCAATGACACCGCAACAGTTCTGAGGACCAGTAGATCGTTTCGACTAAAGAATGTAGAATAGCTGGTGATAAGCTTATGTGTCGTAAGCATGTCTGAAACAAACAGATCGACGTTACAAACCGAACGTGCCATTCTTAATTCCTCTGGCTGTCGAAAAATGCCCTCGTCATAAGCTGTCGTGGGATTGTTTTGTCTAAGCACGTAGTATCTTTGGTGGCTGTGAACGAATGGACAGAACATAGCATTCCTGGGCACACTTTTTTCATGTGAATTTTTGCATTCAATCAGTTTATGGACTTAGGTTTGGTGGTATGCGCTTTTTCGTGCTATGATAAGGTACGATTTATGGCATTTCGCCGCTCCGACTGTATTTTCTCGGTAGTGAAAAACCTCCCGCTCCCACCGGTAATGGTTTGGTGGAATGATTGTTCAAAGTAAATCGTGCATTTACCGTTCGGTCTCACCTGACACCAGTACATGATACATACACCACCCCAGAAATCGGAACAAAGGTTGCCTTTATTCAAAGAGTGGATAGGTGACTGATGTCTCAGAGTGAACATGGGTTTCGCTTGAATGGATCACACACAACCAATTGTTCACTAACGGTGAATGTTCGTATGGTGACGTAAGACTTACAAGCAAATTTTCGAACTCGAAAAACAGACAAACTGGAACCGGCTAGACGACCAACATTGGTACGAGCATTTGAGCCTGTTGGCCAACGTGATTTCACTACAACTCTGGAGGTTGCCTTGAACATACCACTCCACGAAACATGTACTTTTATTCCACGCACCTTAGAGATTCACAGCTGGTTTATTTCATTCCTGACGCGATGTGTTTTAGTTGGATGGTCTTCTGTCTATGGCAGTACGTGACCGTCTTTATTGCCGAGCATTAAAACCTCAGGAAGCGGCACGAGCTGGGTTTGAATATCTGAACGTCCTGACTAGTTCTATGCTGAACTGAGCTAATAGACATCGGGTGTTTTCAGTCTTTACAAATTCTTCAAATAGCAGGTTGTCTTCGGTGACCACTCATTCACCAAAGCCATTGACTCGTTTGGATCCAACCTCATCTAGTTTGCCAACGGAGGTAGCTGATGCTCCTGAGCTGATATAGGTGTACTTACCTACAATTAATACAGCTTCTAGTTAAGGCACCTCATGTGCCAAATACCGATGCAATTTAGTGTCTTTCAGCGGGACAATTTAGGTGAAACCTGCTATTGTGACACAACGAGAGAACACGCAGTTATCAGGCTTAGGATAATTGACACTGCGATCACGCGTGGTCCAAAATATACTCCACAAGGTTTTCATGGACCTTCCGTGAACGAGGCAGGTGGAATCTATGACCAGACCTCGGTTGAAGTCTGCCACAAACATGCAACGTAACCATATGCAGATTTATCCGGTTGAGTAGTTCGTGTGATTTTTTGTCGGATAGGGTTTCACAGCTTCACAGTATTGTTTGTCGCGCACCTTTAAATGCTCTTGGTCATTCGCACGTTCCTCTGATTTAATGATCCTATGAATAGTGTGACTCTCTGATCAGACACTTACAAAAATAGTAGATTACGCATAAGGTACCCATCAATTGCGAGGACCAAAACTTTTTCAAGTGCAAGATGTCCTTTCTTCAGAGTTTTTTCAGCTTTGTGATCATCTGGTTAAGAGAAGATAAAGTGAGCAACTTGATCCTACTTGACTGACTTGATGAAGCCCAAAAAATAAAGTACATGAATGGGTTGGTTTCTTTGACCATTCAAGCGGAAACGCTTTCAGTAGGTTTTGAACAGCCCCTGTACAGACTATGTTGTACTAACATCAGACAGGTCCTTGTCATATAGCTTGATGCTACATAATCAGTTGCTTAAGAACATCATAAATGAGAGATTCAGATGAGTTCCAGGTGGGTTCTACGTCAAAACCAAATTATTATGCAAGGGAGCTTACAAGTCAAATTCCTGCAATTTGAGTTCAAGAAGAACATAAGTTTGACGTAAATTCGGGGACTGCGCCTTCCTGATGAGTTCCAAGAAGGACGAAACAGGTCGTAGTTTGTCGAAGAGTTTTCAGCAACCTTATGAGTAGCGTAGTGTAAACACTATTTCGAAAATGACTGCTGCTCCCCAACACAAGACTTGTACTTAGCGCCCTTAATCATACTAGGCTGGGTTCCTCCATATTTTACATATAATCAAGAAATTTCCCTCGGTGACTTACCATCAGTTGATATCCCATCCTTTTCACAACATAACAGTCGACCAATGTTGGTATAGCGGGAATAGTAGCAATGAGATCTCCATGTTCTATTTGGCTTCCTGATCTAATTCTTCAAAAGTAGGTCAAAGTTTCTGGGATGAAAATGCAGGGACCGTCCCCGGGTTTTTGCATATTAGTTTCCCACCTGCTTTAACCGTCTTTGGATGTTTTCATGCTTCACTTTTCCCGAGGTGCAGGACCTTATCGTTCCTCAATTTCATTATGAATCTGAGATTGGCCTTGCAAAGTCCAGTACTAGCTAGCTGTCATTTGTGTAGCTCCCAATGCAAAATGGGGGTTAAACATGTCTTCCGGGGCCTCATTCATTGAAGTCGTTTGTTGAATTCTGAGAACTAAAAGGATTGTTGTCCCCCATCTCAGGGATGTATTTAACATAGACTAGTTGTATTGCACTCTTAAAGCTTTAGTGCTTAGGAGGCTCGAAGTGTCGTGCAGCCATGTTGAAAAGGCCTCAGATACGACTTTACACGTTATATTAGCCTGTCAGCACACGGGCGGAAGGATGAATAGATGTCACCTTCTATTAAACTAAGGGTCAGCCGCAAAAGAATGCACTGATCTGAAAACCCGGCAGCACCTAGTTGAGACATGTCGGATCAGTTTGAAGCGTGATTAGTGTCTGTTGGAATCCAGATACGACATTGCATCGGTGCGTAATCATTCTGAATCGATTCGGCTTTCAAACGCATAGAAATGCTGGTCGCTGCCTAACTAGTCCAAGTTACTAAACCACTTGGTGCGCCTTAGAGAATGGTCTTCTTTCTTTTGATCGGGTTGTGTCACACCGAGAGTTTTTATAATCTCCATTGTTTGGAGAGAAACGAGACGGCTGTATCACTTCTGTTTCCGACGATTTCTTTCGACTGACCCACAAACTTGTAACAATCCAAAAACAGCAGAAACACAATNATATGGAATCGAACACTTATGTCGCTAAGCCGCAGGGATCGATCGTCTTCCGATTTGGGTTTGAAGGTCGTATGGATTTTTGTAATGCCGAACAGCGTTAACTTTTCCATCCAGTGTCGTCGGAACTTAACAAGCTGGCACAGTTCAGTTAAATCCGATCACTTTACTCACTATGCAGCCAGATTCAATTACATGTCGTTAAAAAGTACAGCTTGGCAGGAGTTAGGGTTAAAGTTCCCAGAAAATATTACTTCAAAAAGGCGTCCTGTCTGACACCAAAGTTGAGGTAGCCCTCCAGTATAAATTTTCATTAAGACAACTGGGGATTCAAATCATATACATACCGATCCTGACCGGCTTGTGCACATTTTTAACGCAAAATGTAGGCGGGTGTAAATGGTACAGACAATAGACGGTAACATGAAAAACAGGATGGAACAGTGGGTAGAAGTTTTGGGTTTGGAATGTCCCTTGATTTGTAATTTTCGTCCTTTTGATGTTGCTTGCCGAGTATGCTAATAATAAACCCATGCGTCGTGGAGTCGATTAGACACACGCATGTATGTGACCTATGGTGTGTGGCTAACGAGCGTTGCCGTTTTGAAGTGAACGGATTGAAAAGTTGTTTTTTTCCCACTGACAGCGAAGCCGGTGCATGAAAATACAGTCTGTTGTTTAGCGTTTTGTATTTTTAGGTATAAATCGATAAAAGTATTGATTTTGTTTGGCACTTCAGACATTGAATCACTCACCGTGAAGCGGTAAAGTGATCGCTACTCTTAATCCTATGGGACTACTTGGGATTCGATAGTTGCTGCTTTATTGTTCCAATTTTATTTTGACATTCGTTCCTATATGGAGGCATTTTATTAACAGAATGACTCAGTCGCTCCGCTTGATTCAGAAGGGATTCGTAGCATTGGATTTTGCTGGTGAGGCATGTAGAGGTCACCTATCAGATCACGCGTCACAAACACCAAAACCACGTGACGATTCCTGTCCCACTTGAAACCTTAGCCGACACTTGCACACAGAATGACTCAGTCGCTCCGCTTGATTCAGAAGGGATTCGTAGCATTGGATTTTGCTGGTGAGGCATGTAGAGGTCACCTATCAGATCACGCGTCACAAACACCAAAACCACGTGACGATTCCTGTCCCACTTGAAACCTTAGCCGACAACTTGCACACTACAAATTCTCATCCACTTTTGTTACGCGGCTACCACTTGTGTAACGTGATTTTGCGCACTTTCCTCTGACAGTTTTCCAGCTGTAGTAACCAATACCTTACAAAAAACATCCTTTTCAAAGACCTCAGTTTCTCCGAGTCTCTGACAACTGGCCCAAACTTGTTCTTTGTCGAAGGAAATGTTTTTGGTTGGTAAAAAAGGGATCTGTCCAATTGACACTGAGTGGACCAGCTGTATCTCCTCGCATAGCCCCTGGGTGTTGATTTACCCACCATGCCATCCTGTTCGCTTTCTTGACCTTTTACTCCTCGTGAGTCCCGTCCCCAGAGCCTCTTCTGCGCTAGATTTCGTACTCATCTTTTCTTCGTTACTCTAATGTGTACCCAAAAACCACTGACAAGCAGAATATGTCGATGGAGTGCCAAGTATCCCGTTTCAGAAAAGGACCTGGAATTGCTCTTCCTTTAATGCACCTATGTACGCATGTCGAAAAAGATCGACGGCTTCGTTCTCCATTGTCCTGCTTGTGACTAGGCTTTTTCTGATTAAAGCAGACACATTCGGCTGCTAGTTTTATCACGAGCAGCTGGTTAATAGTATGACTAACACGCACTCATACAGCATACTGGGCGATTCATCTTTCGACCACAGTAATCTTATCACGTGATGACGTGTTTACTAGCTGCTCGAGCGAAGTCTTCCCTGATGGGTTTCACTCATCTTAAAAAATTATTCTTCCTCTGAACTACTTATAGAGCGACGGTAGTATGAGAATATTGTGAAATATCTGATCAACGCTTCGTTCAATGAGATCGACCTGGGCTTGAATCTCCTGTCTGGGAAATCACCACTCGAAGAACCAGTCAACACGCGTGACCACCTGAAGTGGACTCTGTGACTGAAAGATTGGTGGTGTTATATCTCGTGTAAGTACGAGCTAAGTGCCTTGCTAACCAATCGTTTTGGCCGAATGGGTAGTCGCAGGTTCGAGGCTCCCCACTGGAGTTTCGTGAGCTGTGCGCTGATGGTGATTCCAAATAGGGATGAAATAGATATACGGTACTCCTTGGCTTTTCAGCATATATTGGTTTCACTTTCAGAATGAAATCGCCGATAAAACAGACGTTTTGTGGCTGACTGCTGAAACGGTATTTCTTCAACAAGCTAAAAAGGTAACATTACTCACTACCATCGTGCTTTGGAGAAATATGAAGGCATTGTCGGAATTAGTTGCAAAATGTTGTGTATCAAAGTAGGCTTGATTATAATGTTAGTACAGCGAGCGCTCTCAAACAGGTTGGTAGTTCTGGGGCCAGGAGCACATTCAGTTGTAGAATATCATAAACGAGAGATTCGGTTGAGTCTCTCGTGATGATAATTATGTGTGCTGTTTGCATCCAGGATTCTCATGTGCTTAGTGTCTTCTATGGACAAAATTCAGTAACGTGAAAATTACACATAATGCTATGTTATGGCCAACAGGTTTCATGACATGATCAATATTTGCCGATCAGGTTATGACGACCTTGTTCAAGTGATCAACCTAGCGTGTGTTATAAGGTGCTTCATGAGCCACGAAAGTAACCTTGTAGATGACTACGTATATTTGTGAGAACATGCTACGTCGGTGACCTAGACGCAGTCAACTGGACTGCAGCCTGATTTGTTCATCTAGTATGAGCGCATCAGCACACACGCAACTGCGATGGTCTGTGTATACCCATGATTGCCTTCCGATCTGTCTTATAGTATTATGGCACACCCAGGGTCTTTTTTTCTGTTAGACAGCAAAGAACACCGAACGGAGAGGACTTTGAAATCTGATCTTGTCTTATAAAGTCGCCTGGCCCCTCAGAAGTTCGCTACACAACTGGTGACGTCTGGTATTAGAAAAAGCGAAAGAAAGACATTAGGCCTTGGGTTAACGTCGTTCGGGAGCCAGAACCAAGTGAACAGCTGCAGCTTCGTTTGTTTCCATTTTAGTGGGCTCCTTTCTTCCGAATATCTACTGATACTGAGGACTTCAGAAGACGCAAGTGAGAATATCTGATAACGCTTCCTTTGGCATCATGTCAACACCAGCAACAGAAACGTCTAAACTGTCGTGTATTGTGAGTTTGTACAAGTCTACCGGTTCATCCTGCAGATGACTGCTATAGATAAGAAAAAACAAAAGCAGCAGGACACCATTGCAAAGGCAAGAAATGCCATTCAGTGCACAAGAACTTTTTCATGTGATTCGCTGTGGTGAATGAAGTCCCTATGAAGTAACAAAGCTTACGAGTAACCCAAAAATATCGAAATAAACAGCTTTCTTATAGATTTGTGATGGCGAATGTAACATCTCACCTGGCGGTAAATTCTTATAGCTGTTGTTCAAAACTGCTGGTCTTATTGGTGAACAACATTGTCGAAGGTGTGGAGTACAAAGACATTCAAGTTTAGCGAACACTTTGCTGCAAGAAGGTCATTATCAGAGCATATCGGACGGACCTATCAAAATCATTTTATGAGGTAACTAAGTGCCTATGTTTGGATTTATCCGTATGTCAACAGCTTCAATATATGGTGCCGCCACACATATCTTAGTGGGGATTTCGCATATCCGAACACCGTGACGTTAAGTGTCACCGGGATAAGAAGTCTGGATAAAATATTACAAGAACAGTGTTTCAGGATGTCGAAAAATACACTCATTTGCTTAGCGATTTGGTTTTCACTGGTGATCCACCTGGATCCCAGCTGAATCTCCCATTCATGGCGTTTTTTCTCTCAGGGTATCGTCGCCACGTGGTCGGGTGACAGAAGGCCTACTTGCAGGCGCGATATTTGAAATGCGTTATAACTACCTGAGAGTAGTTAAAGAATGTGGTACTTTGTCGTTGTGGCACACCGATGACGGCTGGCACTCAAAAGTCATTCTCATTGCCCTCAGTACAGAAATTGAAAAACACGGAAGTCCGGCGATGCAGTGAAATTTAATGAAAATAATTCTTCCTAGAAATGGTTCATACTTTGTCTACTGGGACCGCTGAAGCCCTCAAAATCCGCCGTCAGTATGCTTCATTTTAGCAACCGAGTATTGAATTCATGTGCCATAGAACTTCCACGGGTGATGAACTCATCTAGTTGACAGTTGTGCACTATATTTCGAATCGCTGAAAGATGTACTCGAAATTTTGGATGTTATGCTGGATTACATATGGTAAGGCTTATTCTGATTTCGACTCTTCAGTGAGGTACTTGGATTACTAAGTGCACCAGTGTCTCATGGCTTTGTATCGAAAATTATTGGGACGGCGTACAATGGAAAAAACGCATAGACACTCGTGTCTAAGGACACAAGAACCATTCTTGAGCCACTCAAATAAAAGTATGGCGTCAGAGAAACAGAAATAAGGCGCGGCGCTCACACTCATCACATGGATGAGAGTGGACCAGAGTTAATGTGCATGAAAAAGAAATCTTGGAGCGTAGGCTAGAGTGCTGTTTGTATTGAAATATCGTGTCAGTAAGCTTTCCACCTCTCACATGTGTGCATCCAACAGTGTGAGTTTGTCTGCTCTGTAGAAGATTATCAAGAACGCGAAGAAACTTGCTACCCTACGCTGCGATCTTCAGTGTCCAGAAAAGTATACAGTCAGTAGTTCGATAACCTGCACGAGGTTATCAACTCTTGCCAATTAGATACTCCGTGTAGTCAAACTTTCATGAGAGTGCGAAAGGCTTTGAGGAATCAACCAACGAAAGTAAATCAACAACTGTTAATCTACGTCGCGCTCTTGTTCTTTATCTAGTGTTGATTGTTTACAGAGTGTTTTCTGATTTATCGGACCTCTTCCTACTGTACGTTCACCGATACCTATAAGGGTAACGCTGCATAGATTCCGATGCATTTTTACCAATTGTTGTCTGTGACCAAACTGCCAGCGCACTGATTGGTGAGACAGACCAACGCATCAGCCAATTTTCTCACTCCACTGGCATGTTTGACCGTCCGATCCGTTAGTGACCGATCGACCGATTAAACAGTCCCGCTTTGGACTATGCTAGTTGGTTCCCGCCAGTTTAACGCCAAGTACCGATTACCAAGAGACCCTCCAAGAGATACTGAAGGGAAGAATACAAAGTGACATGTTATTATTACGCAGTAATTACCACAGCTTCGCTCGTAAACGCATTATGAATATAGAAATGTCGCACCAAATTTTGTGCTCACTTTTATTGGTCCACTGTGAGGTTGTTCCTTTCTTACTCGTACGTGATATAAGGCGCTGTTGCTGATGGTTGGACAGATCACTCTGAATGTTGGATGCCAATAGAAAATGATCAGTTACAGAGCAATACAACACTGTGGTTACTATAAGTATAAAAATCTTTGCGTCTGTGTGTACTAATACCTCGATGCTGAAAATCGATTCTTGATAAATTCTCTGTTTCAGATTCATACTAAACTGAGAGCAAATTACCTTGTAATAGAACGTTTTTGACGGTAAATTCTGTCCTAACGATTCCCTCTCCACTGGACTTTAGCTTATAATAAGCGTCTTTTTGCTTAACCATTTATTTAAATAGGGTTCGACTGAAAGATGCTGTCGTTACGACCAGTTATTATATGCACCAAAATTATACATATGAAGAATTGTTTAACAGAAAACTTTGGTCACATTTAGTATCCACATCGTCGCCGTTTGAACAGTCCATCTCCAGTCTTGTCACGTATTCCGGTAAGTCCGCAATGATCGGGTTTCACAATGGGTTATTGAAATCAAACGACAGTGAAACCGTGTAGAGATTTAGGCTTTTGACATGCGAAAGGAGCGCGTTGCCACCAAGCGTGCTGGACTCATCTGGAAGAAGGTAGACCAATCTCATCGTTGAGAGTGAGACCGTGTTTACCTGCTCAAACATGCTGCCCCATTTGCGTCCGTTGAACGGCAATGGAGGAAAGGTAACAATCCTCGCATGGTATCTCACATGTCCGGAGTTTGAGTCCGAGATCAAACATTAGAGAGGAGGTTTAATAAGGGCTGAATACCAGAATAGTGCTTCTCGTCCCGGATATGGACTAGCAATAACGATTGTGGCAAAACAGGAGAGGTCCTGTTCTTGAGAAAAACCATGCGAATTCAAGCCCAGAAAATTCCACAACCAGTCAGAATCCTACAAAACTGTTTGTAAATCAGAGGGTGATCTATCGTTGAGATGTGAGGTATGTATGAAGTATGAATATGAGGTACTGTCAGGAAGATCAGATTCCTGAAAGGAGTCTCAGAATGTCCGGAACCAACTGAGAAACTTGCAGCTCACCAAAGTAACAGTAGGGAAGCCGTCAAGCATCCAAACAAGAAAAACCAGGTTTCTGTCGAACTCTCAAGCAGTTAATCAGTTCAACAGCAGCCGACGGGTGTCCAGGCATGTCACAGAAACACTACTGACGATCATGAGTGTTTAGGCGTTTCACGGAAGCAATGTCGATGATGATGTCGATCAGACAGTCTGAGTCAATGTCAAAAGTGCCTTTTGAATACCGCGAGACCCCTTGTACGTTTTGCACTCACCTGTTTGCAATGAAGCTGCTGTATTCCTTGTTGGTGAGTCTTTTTCCGACACTGAGGCACTGCAGTGGGGGCAGCAGATAACTACAATAGGTATGTAATATCCGTCGCATGCAGACTTTTTGGAAGAATCAAGTGCCCAGTTGCGAGCATATGTTACATTTATTTCTGTCCAGAATAATCATTCTGAAACGACACAATATAGGTTGAATGTGAAGCATACGCTACAGGAGGGTTGCTTTTTGTATCCGACTCCTATTCGTCATACATGTATGATTGGTAATGCAACGACAAGGTGGTTTTGTAGCAAGTATTCTCGTATAAAACCCCCTTTACTAATCTTTAGTATGAACGGACCGTTCATTCTATTGGAACCCTTAGTGCTTCAGCTAGTGGGCGATCTACGAGGCCAGTTGTTGTGACTACAGCGAAGAACGGAAAATATCTGCCAATTCTGTGACGCCAGTTAATCGGATTACCAAAAAAAAATTCTTAGATATGTGTTCAGTTCTGTCTGTCCCCCCGAATAGGTCACTGGTGCATACACCCTGCTAGATATGAAATGCTCAGACAACTGGCTTCATGCAATAAACAGTCGGCTGACCAGTCGATGAACTGCGACAAACCCAACATCACTGGGTTGATTGGTCGATGATCGCTGCACTTCGTGAATCAATATATTGTGACACTAACATGGTTTTTCACAAGTGACCTCCCCATCTCCTCACACTTGCATATATGCATCTAACGTTTGTTATAAAATCGTTTATCATAACAAAGAAAATGTGCCATGTTCATATTCTCTTCCTATTGATTGCAGCACAAAGTGTGCTTACTCATGGTGTCCCTTCCCTCACAAGTTACGAGAGTTCCTCCCATGATGCAGATGTTTACCCAGTGGATTTCGCCGAAACTCTGAGCGAGGGCTCCGAAGGTTATACTGCGTCTGCTCCCAAAGACCTGGCAGAAAGCTCCATCGGTCACTACAAGCAAAATGGACAGTTTTCACTTTATGGTAACATCAACCATGATTCGGACTACGGATTGGATGCTAATCTCTTGTCAGCCGGTAAACTCCTTGGAAAGGGCTTCCTAACCAAAGGATCGAAATATGAAACTGTCACAGCATTCCAAAAAGGCGGTGTGTATGGTCCCAATGGATACAAGAAACGACATCATGATTTCAACACGCAAGGCTTCGTGAAGAACTTTCTTAGTAAAGAAATCGATAGTAAATTCAAACTTGATGGCAACCTGAAATCTCAAGGAAACTTGAATATCTACGGTGAGTCCAGCGTAGTTGGAAAACTTGAAAAGGTCAATGGATTAAACTCAAATGGTGATCTGAGAAAGTACCGTCAGTATGGCGGACTTGCTAATGATAATAGCTACAATCTACTGGAAAATTCAGACAACCATGGGGATGATTACTACACACACGGGTTGGTGAACAGTTTTGATGGTAATGAGTGGGGCAATAAGTTTCGTCACAAAAACCATATTCACCCCCATGGAAATATTCATGCTTACGGTGGTTCAAGGGTAGTCGGGAAGTATGGAAGGATCGGTGGTTTTGATTCTGACGGCGACTCGAACAAATTCGGACAATACGGCAGTTACACAGGTGTTGTTGGTGATAACCCCTATGAGCTTCCAGGGAGCTCGGAAAGCCTTGTGAGTGGCTACAACGTGCGAGATAATGTGAACGAATTTGGTGGCACAAAGAAGCTTCGACTCAAAAGTAAACTTAAGCCCTATGGAAATATATATGTCTACGGTGATTCAAGCGTTGTCGGAAAGTTTGGAAGGACCGGTGATTTCAATTCTGATGGTGGCCTGAACAAATTCGAACAACATGGCAGTTCCACAGGTGTTGGTGTTGTTGGTAATAGCCACAGTCTTGTGAAAGGTTCAGACATCATTGCTAATGACTACAACTCACATGAATTCACGAACAACTTGGTGGGAAAAGGGACCAAGAACATAGTTCACCTCAAGAGTAGTCCAAATTCCAAAGGAAGCAACAATATCTTAGTTGATTCAAGCTCAATTAGAAATTTCAATGAAGTCAGTGGTTTCACCCATAACGCCAAACCAAAGAAGTACCGTCACCATGTGGGTTCCACAGGGATCACTGACTACAATAGCCGTAAACTAGTGAAGAATGCAAAGGGTCTTGGGAGCGATGTGGAATTCGCCCAACACACACATGTTGACACCTTCGGAGATGTGGACAGCACGAACTAGTTAGTAGTAGTAGCAGAACGAGGTGGCATAAATCTTCCCTACCACCCACTTGTTTCCGCCTAATATTGGATTCCTTCTGTAATTTCTTTCTGTATGGAACCGATTAAAACTCCATATTTAATTTTACCTGTCTTTTTCCGCGGGACGATATTACTGAAATTACAGTCAAGCTAGATCGTTTATGTCTCTCCCACCAGGGAAGTTTGTCTGATGAAAAGCAAACTAACGAAAGTCGGTGTATCACCTTCTATGATTAATTTGAATCTTCTGCTATTCATTGAAATTTAGTTTAGAAGTTTTCCAGCTGTGTGATCCTAGTAGTTCGTGGAAAATTTTACAATTTCTTATCCTCGGAGCCCACCGAGTGTAAATCTAAGACCGACCCGAAGATACAAGACACGGAGGATTCAGTCGTACAGCTTCGTTAGCTCGGTGAAAAGTTTACATGTGCGATAGAATGACCAAAGTCAGTCTGTGTTTCTGGTGCCAACCAACGGGTAAGCTGGCAGTAGCTAGTGCACTGTGTATCTCAACCCACAGGGATTCTGTGATAGTCATCATTTGTAACGTCATCTCTAACGGTGATGATATTACCCCTCAGGGGGGCAGTTAGGTCAAAAGGGATGTTATCACAAAAGAGGACGAAAGAAACGAACTTAGAGTGACTATCATAGGAGCTCGGACAGGGTACATGACATATAGAGTTAAAGGTTCATTTACAGGTTAGAATGGCGTTTAGTTGACAGCCAAATGCATCTGGGAAGAACCTCTCGGTTGTAATGTGCTGTAATCGAATATTCCACGCAAGGGCCACTTTATGTTTCGCTTGGGCCAAAAGTTGGCTATCGAAGAATATCGACCTCAACGTATACTAATCATAAGATCTACTGTGATTTCATTTCTAGACTGCTTTTCTTGAAGCATTTCTACGGTGTAGCGATGGCGGACAGTGTCCTTTAAGGCCTGATTGTAATGTTTCTCACCTACTGTTCCAGCACCCTCACTGCCACAGTGAAATAACTTTCCCGTCATAATGGGGCGCCAGGAGAGCCTGTCTCATGAAAAGTGGAAACAGAAAGTGGTAGGCGAGCAGACGTTCAGAGCACCCGTTTAAACGGCGTGTAAGTGGGGTTGTCAGTATCATAAAAAGTCACGTGAGCATTGTTGCCCAAATGTCGGCGACTAATTACAGATTTGGGGATTCATGCACGGTTCAAGGTGTCTTTGTGAGTAACATTCTACCGGATACGACTGATTGGGTCAACTTTTCGGCTTCAAAGTGCTGAGCATTATAGGTGCGTGTCGTTACCAAAGCAAGTGCAGAGAATATTATAGTCTTAGCTTGAAAAAATCACATCCGCAAGCTTCATTGTTTGATATTGAATTTGTAATTTACAGACTGAAAGTCTACAGAGAGATTTGTGGTATCCCAGCTCCTTCGTCTGAAAACCGAATTTCCGACGGTCCTTAAACTAGGCGAAATCGACGGTGAGCAGTGATCAAACTTCTAGGCTTGTGAATTCCCCGGTGTTTTGTTATGTATCCAAGGTGAGAGAGTATTCCTCGTGACATTCTACAAGCGGGTATTTCTTTTGGACAAATATATTCTGTCTGATGAATCCTGTTTAACGTATAAGTTGAGTTCAGTTCTTTCATTTTAACCTAAAAATACATCATGGATCCAGCTGCCCAAAGCAGGTAGATCACATCCCGTTCAGCATTTCTTCTGGTTAGCGACGTATGGTCAGTATATTACTAGAGCATGCATTCAGGTCCTTTTCGCTGGGTTGTTATCGTGTCACAGTTATTCTGCGCTTTATCTGGTTGATTAAGATCCATTGGGCTTTTTGATGCAAGGTGGCCTGTCTACCAATTCCTCTACAATTTCGCTCCATCGCAATAGCGTGGGTGACAATACTAGTGAAAGGAAGAAGGCCTTTGTTGCGGAGTTATTTATTAGAAAACGCCAACTGATTAGTAACAGACTACTGGACAGGGAAGAAAAAATTCGTTTGCATCTTTTTTTACAAGAAACTGAACATCCATCTTCTCTCGAACGCGTCTTCTTGGAATTTCCTGGATATTCATTGACTGTTGCCCAAATCCAAGCAAATGCCACAAAGCGACTTCACAAATTCCGCAACAGATCTCCTTTTTCAAGAGATGCAAGGCGAATTTACAAGAGGAAACCATACTACTCGCGTGACTCCCGATTAGTAGTATCACCGTTACAATTCCTCTACAATTTCGTCCCATTGCAATAGCGTGAGTGACAATACTAGTACTAACAATAATGATATCTAGTCTCTTCAGTAATGGACAAGTCGTAGTTGGGAGAGTTTTCCATTCAGCACGGAGATTTCCATGAGAATTGCATGAGAATCAGGACAATGGGATAAAGGACAATGCATACAGTCCAATAAAGCTGAAATCCCGTTTAAAACAACCCGATTTCCTTACCTTCCGTCTCTCCGTTATTCATTCCGTGAAATTGTCGGTGGAAGAGCTCAGGCTGCTAAAGTTGTACTGTTGCAGTATATTTCGAAACCAGACTACAGGGCGATTAGCAGCTACGCTTCAAACTTTTCTGTCTGAGACAGAGAAATCAGGACTTATTGCCAACTGAGTTCAAACGGTTTGTTGATAGTGCGAGGAGATTTGTGAATCTTCACCTGCGGTTTTTTCATGTGACTGAGGCTGAAAGACCGAGAAGCTGCTTCATCCTTCTTGGGAATTACCAGAAGTGCTCACTTCACGAAATCACAGGAAGTTTTTTGAACTTGAGAACTCCCGACTAGAAGTTCAGCGCTAGTCATGCTTCAATCACGGAGTCTACACCACGTGTTCATGCGTTGACTGGGTCCTCAGACCAAAGTTTCCCTCAACTTGTAAACGATTCCTCTTTCTGAGCTACCTGCAGTATTTCGGTAGGGTGAAACCATTTTAAAATTGAAAGGCAACATCTGAATTCATACATATGTCTACAGGACAAAATCAGCATGCGAGATTGTAACGCCCGCGTTTGTTTTAAAGCGACTTACGTCGGCGGAGACCTGCCCGCTTGCTAAGCAAAGTGTAAAGTACACGTTGTCTACCCGAGGTTTGAAGATGCATTCATTGCGGAACGCGCAACCTAATAAACCCAGTGGATGCGCACTGACTTCCCTAGCTAGGAATAAATGCTGTAGTGAAAAGAGGAACCATAACGATTCTCTGCTCAACTGATCACCATCTACATGATGGTTTATGAGCAACGGTAAAAAGAACTTTTGATGGCAGGTCACTCGATGTGATCACTACAACCCAGTTGTGTGTGATCAACCTTCACGCCGATGGGGTAGAATGCATTTTGTGCAATTGGAGCTCGACAGGACACACAGATATCTGCCGAATGCAAGAATAAATAAGTAAGCCAAAACTTTTTCGGAAGTCAGTGGTGTTAGAAAGTGAGACGGGATACCTCGGATTTACAGGCCCGAATTCCGCAAAAAAATTCCAGACAACTCCGATTCGGTGGTATTCAAGGACAGGGAGCTACAGCATCCGCTGAAGTCACCTGATTCTGGGAAGAAATTCGTACACATGGCACTGAAACAGATGAAAGTATATGCTATTGTTTAGAGGATAAAGGTTAAAACTTCAATGCGTGCTTGATAATTTAAAAAAAAATCAGTGAATCCACTTTTCATTCCACTGAGCTTTGTTATGTCGAGCGGTCTTGGGATTTGTGTATTAATTACTACTGGGTGTTTGGACTACCTCCAGAAACCCTTAGAGGTGGAGGACTCTACACTTAAGAACCTTTCGTTCACGCGAAATACACTCATTTGCAAATAATTTGGTTCTCAACCGAATCTCTCGTTTATGATATTCTACAACAGGCTGCCTCATGATTCAGTTGGCACGATATTCGAGATATCGCAGTATATTTTCATGCAGGAAACTACTCACAAGTTTGCTGAAAACTCTTCGAAAGCCCACGTCCGGGGACTGTGCCTACCTGAGGAGTCCCAAGTGGGGCGAAACCGTCGTGGGCTGTCGAAGAGTTTTCAGCAACCTCGTGAGTAGTTTCTTTCATGAAAAACTTTCGTTTACCTAATGGGTTTGCCGCTATGGATGTCACCGTGCATACCAGCAATTTCAGATGTTGCTGGTCATAACACCTTCGCGGTATGCTTCAAATGACGAGAATTTCAACCGAACATTTTTGTTCACATGGGGTTTTCCGTTGATCCTTGAGACCTCATGCAAAACGACTGCGTACGTTTTTAGTCCCGCCCAAGAGAGTTGCCTGGTGACTGCATTGGCTTAGAGAATCGAAGGTAGTTTTATTCGTAACGGCAAAACTGGGAAGCAAAATGTAAGAAAATGGAGAACAAACGCCTGGTTCCAGGGCTCTCAGCGGTAAAAACCAGGTGCGTGTCGCCATAATTAAGGAAGTTCACTGTAAGCGAGCAACACAGAAGTTTCTAGTTTACTGCATTTTGCCGTGTACTCAACAGCTGGCTGTCAAACCTCTCATGAACAGTATCCAAAATAGCCAACGCATACCTCGGATTTACAGGCCCGAATTCCGCAAAAAAATTCCAGACAACTCCGATTCGGTGGTATTCAAGGACAGGGAGCTACAGCATCCGCTGAAGTCACCTGATTCTGGGAAGGAATTCGTACACATGGCACTGAAACAGATGAAAGTATATGCTATTGTTTAGAGGATAAAGGTTAAAACTTCAATGCGTGCTTGATAATTTAAAAAAAATCAGTGAATCCACTTTTCATTCCACTGAACTTTGTTATGTCGAGCGGTCTTGGGATTTGTGTATTAATTACTACTGGGTGTTTGGACTACCTCCAGAAACCCTTAGAGATGGAGGACTCTAAACTTAAGAAACTTTCGTTTACGCGAAATACACTCATTTGCAAATTAATTTGGTTTTCACGGGAGACTCAACCGAATCTCTCGTTTATGATATTCTACAACAGGCTGCCTCATGATTCAGTTGGCACGATATTCGAGATATCGCAGTATATTTTCATGCAGGAAACTACTCACAAGTTTGCTGAAAACTCTTCGAAAGCCCACGTCCGGGGACTGTGCCTACCTGAGGAGTCCCAAGTGGGGCGAAACCGTCGTGGGCTGTCGAAGAGTTTTCAGCAACCTCGTGAGTAGTTTCTTTCATGAAAAACTTTCGTTTACCTAATGGGTTTGCCGCTATGGATGTCACCGTGAGTACCAGCAATTTCAGATGTTGCTGGTCATAACACCTTCGCGGTATGCTTCAAATGACGAGAATTTCAACCGAACATTTTTGTTCACATGGGGTTTTCCGTTGATCCTTGAGACCTCATGCAAAACGACTGCGTACGTTTTTAGTCCCGCCCAAGAGAGCTGCCTGGTGACTGCATTGGCTTAGAGAATCGAAGGTAGTTTCATTCGTAACGGCAAAACTGGAAAGCAAAATGTAAGAAAATGGAGAACAGACGCCTGGTTCCAGGGCTCTCAGCGGTAAAAACCAGGTGCGTGTCGCCATAATTAAGGAAGTTCACTGTAAGCGGGCAACACAGAAGTTTCTAGTTTACTGCATTTTGCCGTGTACTCAACAGCTGGCTGTCAAACCTCTCATGAACAGTATCCAAAATAGCCAACGCTCGGGGTAGCGTGTTCCTAACACAAGGACCGTTTTTGACCGATTTACAAGGTGTGCTTTTTTCTAGGAGAGCACTGTACTTGTTGGCTTTTCCGCTCCGCAGTCTCAGGGTAGCGTGTTCCTAACACAAGGACAGGTGTGCTTTTTTCTAGGACAGCACTGTACTTGTTGGCTCCGCGGCACACAACCACACTTCCTAATTCAGTAATGGTATATGAACAAGTCATTGATTAAGCGTCACTGGTCTCTTACCAGTCTGATTCCAACCTGCATATATGGAGTCATGAGAGGGCAAATCCGCGGCAACAGAAAAATGCAAATGAAGTGAGTAAACATTTTTATTAAACTTCATTTTCAATCTAATCTGGTGAAGAACCTTATTAGTAGCCATAGTACTCCCCAAGGTTGCCTAATTTGTCGTAGTCTCCATGGCTCCCGTATTTAGAGTAGTCATTCCCGCTGCCGTATCCGCTCAGTTTGCCATATGCATCGTACTTACTACGACCCTTAAGTTTACCGTAGACATCTTTGTCAGCTGTTCCCTTGGTTTTACCCTCTTGGCCGTACTCAGCGTACTTGTCAAATTTGCTGAAAATATCACTTTTACCGTAGCCGTTGAACTTGCCCTGTGCCTTGAGCTTGCCGTACAGGTCGAAATTGCTCTTCAGCTTCTTGTCACCTGTCTTCTTGGCTTGTCCATAGCTTTCATACTGGTTATAGTGCTTCTTCTTACTATAACCGTTTTGAGCACCACCACTGCGGAACTTCGTCACAGTCTGGTATTCGGAAGATTCATCTTCATATCCAGTACCGTAAAACTTGCCCTTGGCTTTAAGATAGGAGTCGAGTCCGTGGTCCGTGTTGTCTTCAGCCTTACCATGTGTGAAGAAACTGCCTCCCTGTGTGTAATAACCTGCTTCAGCCTCCTGATCATGTTCTACGGAAGTGCCATCGTAGACAGAGTCACCATGAGCGCTCAAACCACCCCGAAGGTTGTAGTCATAGGATGACACATCAGCCCCGGTAGCATCTTCGTAGGCGCCTCGGTAAAAGCGTCCCACCTTAGCCCTTTGCCCCCGGCCATAACCATCGACCAGAGTGGCTGGTACTAAAGCTACCAAAAGAAGGCAAATCAGTTTCATGATGTTGGGCTTGGTATATGATTTCGCCTCGCTATTCGACTTTTATAGACTGTTCATTGTAATCCACCCGTGTTAGCATCAAGACGTACAAGTAGCATCATGGCCGCAAGCGCCATTTATCGATCTATTAATTCTGTAGCTTCAGTGCACTCAGCTGACTAGACTGCGAAATTAATTGATTCCCCAAGACACTGTTCTGTGGTCATCAGTTGAATGAAGGACGAATTACGCTTCGTTGCAACTAAAGGAAATTATCGTTAAGAGTGTTTTTGAATTGGAGTTACCTATTACCCAAGAAGTCACCTGAGGTTACCAGCCAAAACGATGCCTTCCAGAGGGTAGTTTCCACAGAGAGGAACAACCATATGATCACCAGTCTGACTGCTTTTGTTTCCAATTGGGCTATTAAAATTATGTTTAATTAATTAATTTCACTTCTTGAGTGCTTTCTCAGTCTAGAAGACGAGAGCTTAAAGTGCAGTATTGTTTATAACCTTCACAAAACTCATCACAAAAGATAGAAAAAATAATATAGTTGTGATAGCCTAAGGAAATTACCTTCAGGGATCGAACTTAAGTCGGTTGCTTTAGCGACAGGTCTCTTCATAATGAGTAGCTCTACAGAAATAACAAAAACACCACCATTATATTGTAATGCACTACTCATAAGGTTGCTGAAAACTCCTCGACGGCCCACAACGGGTTTCGCAATCATGGCCGCAAGCGCCATTTATCGATCTATTAATTCTGTAGCTTCAGTGCACTCAGCTGACTAGACTGCGAAATTAATTGATTCCCCAAGACACTGTTCTGTGGTCATCAGTTGAATGAAGGACGAATTACGCTTCGTTGCAACTAAAGGAAATTATCGTTAAGAGTGTTTTTGAATTGGAGTTACCTATTACCCAAGAAGTCACCTGAGGTTACCAGCCAAAACGATGCCTTCCAGAGGGTAGTTTCCACAGAGAGGAACAACCATATGATCACCAGTCTGACTGCTTTTGTTTCCAATTGGGCTATTAAAATTATGTTTAATTAATTAATTTCACTTCTTGAGTGCTTTCTCAGTCTAGAAGATGAGAGCTTAAAGTGCAGTATTGTTTATAACCTTCACAAAACTCATCACAAAAGATAGAAAAAATAATATAGTTGTGATAGCCTAAGGAAATTACCTTCAGGGATCGAACTTAAGTCGGTTGCTTTAGCGACAGGTCTCTTCATAATGAGTAGCTCTACAGAAATAACAAAAACACCACCATTATATTGTAATGCACTACTCATAAGGTTGCTGAAAACTCCTCGACGGCCCACAACGGGTTTCGCACATCAGGTAGGTGCGGTCCCCGAGTTTCCATCAAATTTATGTTCTACTTGAAACCAAACTGCACGAATTTAGCGAATATACACTCATTTGCAAACTAATTTGGTCTTTCGAGGGACTCACCTGGAACCCAGCCGAGTCTTTCGGTTTTGATGTTTCCAGGCAACTGAATATGCAGCACCAGACCGCCTCATGTTCCAGTTGGTACGAGCAGAACTTAAGTACAGCATAAAGTTGACAGAAGCTCGGGGACTGCGCCTACCTGATGAGCCCAAGGAAAGGCGAAACCGGTTGTGGGCTGTCGAGGAGTTTTCAGTAATCTTGTGAGTAGTGCGTTACAAAATATATATGTATCGCGATATCTCGAATATCATAGCGAGGCGGTCTGGTGCAGCACATTCAGTTGCCTGGAAACATCAAAACCGAGGGATTCAGCCGGGTTCCAGGTGAGTCTCTCGCAAAAAACAAATTAGTTTGCTAATCACTATTATCTGTCCAAACATCTTTTTTATGTGCAATAACCCTACTCGGCGTCGGAAGTGATTCGACATCCGACCGCGTTTGTATAGTGGCTTGAATATTTCCTGGACCCAATGAGCTTTCAAAAGTGCTTTTCAAATAAATATATTTCGAGAGCCACTGCTCTATTTTGAACGCAGCGCAGAAGGACCGTTTGGCCAACGGGGGTGAGGTAATATTCTGGGATTACTTTGAAATTCTCGAAGTGGCACTTTGTACGATACTTAGAATAGAGTAGAATACATTCTTCCTTTATTCTGCCGATAGTTAATAGGCTGAGACACCCTATTTTTCAGTGATCATGTGATTGTGTTTGCATTATATCTGTCCAGGTGAGCAATAATTGTGAATTCCCGCAAAACTTTTCGAAAATGTAAAGTGCGAACTATGGACAAGGGCATTTTACTCCCTCGTATTCGTTGGTTAGTCTGGTTAAGTCGCCTGTTAGAGGACACGGTCAGAGGACTAGGCCAAGTTCTGAGTGTACAAGATCCCTTGACATAATCTGAAAATAAATTCTGCATGCCTACGTGTACTTATCAGTTTTCCGGTCATTGCACTTACTTTGGAAGGTGATGTAACGCATCCTACTCTTTTGAAATTAGATTCATCCATTTGGACAGGTTGGACCGGGGTTAGTCCTGCTATTGAGCGCCATTTAGATTGTGAAACTGAAAAGTTTTCCGAACAAGGCAGTACTCTGAATGAAGTATGACAATTCCCACATTCTAATTACTAGGGGAAACCTTTTGTACAATCAAGATGATTAAAATGGCGATGGTTCAGGGGACATTGGAGCGAGTCACCAGTAAAAATAGGTTGGTGAGAAAACTTCACTGGACCTATGGCAGTGGTCTATTCACGCATTTGGGATACAATCTGTTCAGCTGGATGCATGAGTGTCCGTGTGTGTCAGGTCCACTAGCTTGAGTCACCTAGGGTCCTGTGATGTGGGTATGTGCATGGAACATGTTGAACAAATTCATCTACCTAGTCAAAGAACCAGTGTAAATTAGGCTCCTTCAAAACGCTTTCCCAAAAGTGCAAGATTTAAGCAAGTAGTTTCTAAACAAAAGTTTGGAACTGATTTTTCTTCTGAACTCAGTGTTTGAATGACATTCATGACTTCATATCACGTCCTTTAAGGCAAAACCATTGTGATGATGTGCTTGATAGTTGGAGCCCTTGAAAGATAGTACAGTTCGACCTCTACACCTGATGTTTCGTTCCTCTCAGAAGTGTTCTCTACGCCAACTCCCATGACACCCATCCCATGACTTCTATTCATCCACCCCTCACTTTTTGTCGGAATTTGCATAGGAAGTCGCGAGCTCTACCGCAAGTGGTACATGATTCATTTCCAAGCGATTTAGGAATGCTAAATGATAACATTAAGTATACGGAGCACACAGGTGGGTGCACATGACTCGAGTGGACCAGATTGATAACTAAGTCGGAATGGTGATCAGCTGCTCGCGGTCGAGTATTTAAGTGTCTCAACTACTAACCGAGAGGTCGCGGGTTGAAAAATCCTTGAAGTTACAAGCTCTCGACGAAGATGAAACAGTGCATTTAGCCGTTAAAGCATGGATCGGCTTCACTTACAGGGTGAAATATTGATTGACGGTGAGTGAAACATCTGAGTCTTGGGACAACTTAACAATCGGGATATCGGAAAACCGTGTGTTCACCTCTCAGCTGTTCCAGCACAATTTTGTCGCTAAGTCTTAAATTCTTGCAAATTAAGTGTAGGTCATTGCCAAGCTATCGAATGCACATTAATCTAAGTCATCATCAAAAATTTGTAAGGGATTTGACACTTTCCAACTTGAGGTTTCAAGAGAGGTGACATCGATTGGTGGCGAACCACATCACCAAGCTCGGCAAACAACTTGACTGCCAACTCGAACTTCTAACCTTCTTCTCTATATTAAACGAATACAAACGATTCACGGTTATTTTCGTGGGCTGAACTGCATACTGAAGTTCCTGTAACTGGGGACATGATAGAGTTCCTCATAATCAAAAAACATATTGACATTTTTCCGCGTAATACAGCACACCAGCTGTCTCAAAGTTCCGAGGACCAAACCTACCTGATGATTCCCAAACAGGACGGCAGTAGGCTATCTGTAGATCTCGAATACTCGACTTATACTACTCACTTCTAGTGAAGGCAGCTCATGAATCGTTTGAATTCAAATGGAGCTGCACGGGGAACTTTTGAGGCTATCGTCTTCAATTATGACGAAACGATATTGTATTCCAAAAGAACAAAAATGAAGTTTTAGCAGTTTGATGATGAAAGGTTCAAAAGGTTCCAAGAAGTTCTGTGTGTGATTTATCAGAAATACTTGGGCAAAATCAGTACGACTAAACCTAGGGTTGCGTGAAATGTGACTGTCTCAGAGACACTTCCATTCCGAATCCCTGGATGAAATGACACGTCTCAGGGAACTAGTTCGAATGCTGGAATGACGGGCACGCATCAGAGCTCAAGATACCCTAATGGTTAAGGCGTGAAGTTCTTGAGTGGAAGGTTCGTGGTTTGAAACCGAACTCTGCACCTTGACCCCTCCTGTCTAGGTCTGAACATCCTGGCGGTAGCTCATCCCCCGTGCTTCCTTATGGTGGTACGACAGCTGGGAACCAAAAGGATGTTACAGCTGGACGTTACGACTCACGATTCAATGACACGCATCGAAAGATCGGAAAGGAAGTACTGTGTGGGTAACGGACGGCCAAAAATCAAGACCGAATTGTTCAGTAAAACTACGGAAGACCTTCTTCCGCTTTGGAGTGAAAAACTGTTGACTGGCTTTACTTGAGGCTATATTCTTGATCCAGTCGATTTACATAAATGCACTGAGGATAAAAATACTATTTAGTCGACTGAAAATTTCGTTTCATAAACCAGGTGAGTGGGATTAGACATATCAAAACCATAATGTTTCGAAGCTGCGTCGCGGACGCCTGACTGATGACTTAACAGCTAGAGTAGATTGCCTTCTAACAAGCGCAAAAAGTTACACCTGTTGAGAAACATGAACCATTGCGAGTGCACTTTAAACTTCCATAGCTGCTCTGAATTTCTTGTAAGGTGGATCTTTGAACAATCGTTGAAACGGTTCTGGTTTGCGATAATCAATCTTGGGGAGGTGTCATTTAGAACAACCACGAAAGCACACAACAAAGCGTATTCCACAACGCTGGATAACAAAACCGTTTAAAATAGAGCTACGGACCTCCATTTTTGCCATCACCCATTGGACAACTCTGCACAAAAGTTTTATGGCCTAAAAATTCATTGTTCAGTTGGATGAAAGACTGTCCGTTATGAGGTCCAGGATTTTACAAAAACCGTACGCAAGTGATTTGTTTGAAAATCATTTTAATTTGACTAAAAACCGTTTGGTTCCTTTACAGGAAAAGTTGTTTGTGCTTAAGCAGTGTTTGATCACCCTTACTCATAGAAATTGATCACAATTAGAAACTCACACGTGGATGAGACTCCTACGTCGTATCGTCAGAGTCTATATAGAATAATAGAAAGATAGTCATTCAGTCGGAAGTATGAAGGTTGAGTTACTGCATGGCTGCACAAGTCTAGCAGAGATGCACAAGTTGGGTTCGATATATGAGCCTTCCAGATAATAAGTTCGCGCCTGAACTACTTGGCCATCTAGAGCTCAAGAGACATCTTGAGCCTTCGAGAATACAAATGGGTACAAAATAACTTCCGTGGTACGCTCAAAGGAATGTTAAAGCATTCATGTACAAAAACAGTGGCCCCCTCAAATTCGGTCGTGCTATCTAACAACAATTTATTGCGGTTGAGCAACGCCGTCTACAGAGGATAGTTAAGACCTTGGTTTCACCAGCTGTCCGAT